CAGATAAAATATGATTTTGTTTATTTCTAACACTTTAAGTTTTTTTTTCTCCTCCTTCATCATGGAGGTGAATCAGAGCAGTCTTTACCAAACGTTTTCTTTACATTCCTGTCATGCAGAAATTTAAGTTCAACTGTAGAAAAGATCAAACTTCAATTCTATTTTTAAATATGTTTCCTAAACTTCATTCAATATCAAACTGAAAAGATATTTTATTTTTAAGATGATGATTCACTTCATTTCGATGAGGTTTGGAAAATGTTGTAATATAAATACTGTTATAGAAAGTAACGTTGGAAAGTCTTCATTGTGTTGTTCATCCACTGTAATTTGAAAACATTTAAAAACGTTAAATGACAATTGAATTCCACATGAAGAAAATTGGTGTTTGTCAGATTATTCTATGTATTTATTTGTGTTCCCTCTAAACTAACATGTCATGTAAAACCTAAAGTTTTTTCATGATTGTTACCAAATCTTCTTCTTGTTTCTCCAGTGTAGGTTGATATGTTTCAGGTGAAAATGTATGATGATTGTCTCTGTGCTGATGTGCATGAGAGGCTTCTTAAAGGGAAGTGAAACAATGTGTGAGTGAGTGACTGGTGGAGCGGAAAAACCATCTGACAGAAACTCCTTTAAGGAGAAAATCAACTGTCACACAAGTAAATGTGTCAAAGTGTCTGGTGTTTGATTGACAGAATGTGTGGTCCCTGTCCTCTAAGCTGATTGGTGTCTCCTAGGTTGATGCCCGTCCCACCCTGACAGTGCTGCCCCCTCAGGAGGAGCTGCGCAGGGAAGGCACGCTCATGTGCCTGGCCAACAAGGGCTTCCCCTCAGACTGGAGTCTGGCCTGGAAGGTGGAGGGCAGCAGCAGCAGCACAGCTGGGAGGAGAGGCAGGAGCCCCGGGGTGCTGGAGAAGGACGGCCTCTACAGCTGGAGCAGCACCCTGAGGCTCTCCTGCAGACCAGTGAGCAGCTGGGCTCTGTGACCTGTGAGCCACCCAGGGCTCCCAGACTCTGGTCTCTAGAGACACTGACAAGAGACAGTGTTCCCAGTTTGACGCCTGACTCACCAGGACTCTGCTGACTGGTTTTACTCTGCTCTCTGTAACACATCTCTCTTTTCTTTCTCTCTTCTCTGTCTCTCTCCTCTTTCTCTCCCTCTCCCTGCTTTCGTTCTCGTTCTTTATTAGCTTGTTTTCTGAATGTTTCTTATTTCACTATTTGCACAAAATAAAGATCTGTTCATCAAATAAATTCTGCTTCCATCTGTGTTTTTATAACATCAACAGATGATCATGTGTCTCTTTCTCACTGACATGAAATACAACTTGATTGTCCCTGCCATGGTGAAACTCTTACTAATTGTTTTTGTGTATTTTCAGTGTTTTATAATTTTCAATATATTTGGTCAATTAACGTTTTTTCACCTCCAATTCAAACCTGAGCTTTTAAACTGATTGTTATATGTTGTTTGAGCGACAGAAATCTGCTGAATCTTTGTTTGGATTTCAGGAGCAGAAATATAAAGTCAGATATCATCAGCATAGGAGATATCCAGTAACTCTGCACATCACTCTACAGCTTCTCTCTCGGTCTCTCCTCTTCTCTCTCTCTCTCTGTCACTTTTTAATTTGGCTATTGTAGCCCAGTTGACAATAAAGGGTTAAAATGTTGATAATGTAATAAATATTATGTTTACTGTGTTTTATTCTTTGTTATCTCAGTTGAACAAATAGAGAGATGATCAGCAACTCAGAAACCATAGTTGGTTAAGTCCCCGTGCCTCTTCTGGTTGCACATGACAGGTGATTCAACAAAGTAATCTTGTCTATTTTGGATCTGTAAGTAAAACATCCAGGTAACAAACCAATATTTAGAGAGTAACCAAAGTAGTAGCAGCTGGAATTGAATGTCCGATTTTATCTTTTCCAGCAATCTTAGTAAGCTAGCAACATTATCTTAAGTGTTGTTATTTGTGAATGTGACACTGCATGGCCTGTCTGTTGAGTTTGGTTGAAGAAATGTGCAGCCAATGCCAGAGTTACCTGCTTGCTGATTTGCTGACAGAGTAATGTTGAGCTAGATGTTGAAGATGTATAATATTTAAATTTTAGTGTTAACATTTTACTGTAGGAGATGTGAGAGTATGTTAATGCCACTTTCATTTTTATTAGAGAGTGGGCATTGCAATATTAGCAGGGCCATAATGAACATTGATCAAGTGGTACAATTCGCCAGGACTCCTGCACACATCCACAAAGAGTGCACATTATTCCAGAAAACTGTCCACAGGGCAGTTCCGCCACGAACATTTAAAAAGACTGAAATTGATCACAGATGAAAGATTTTATTGACTTTTGTTAAACTAAAGCGCAATATTGTCTTTATATTTTTTCTTTTTCTTGAACCTTGTTATTTAGGCTACACGTTATGAATTATCACCTGCAAGTTCATTTCAGCTAAAAGATTTCAAATTGCAACTTAGTGTGCTTCATACTATGGTTATATTTTACTCTATGTTTCTGAACTCTTATAAACGCTCGTAGCGTGTAATTATCAGGAGCGGGTCACACTGTCATATATTTCAATAGTGCTGTTTTCTTCTAGTGAATGACATGTACGATAGGTTCATGACAGTAAAGACACTTTGATCACATGAGATTCTTTTCAGTGTGGTTTATTATTAAAGGATATCACATGTCTGGTGTTTCGCTGCTGACGTCTTAACAGTAACAGCTGATCCATGAAACCCACAGTGACTCAGGTTCGTTTCTGGATCAGGTCACAGGGCATTGTCATCTCTTAGTGATGATCTGACAAAAACAGGACAGGAAAAATGGTATTTATTCAGACTCTCAGTTCACAGCAGACGGAGTCTCAGGGTAGCAGTCACATCCTAAAACCCTGGTGGGAGCTGAAGGTATTGGAGGTCATATAAAAATACTTTTCAAACACCAAGAGCTCTGTGCATATGATGTCTTCACATTTGACCTCCAAACCTTCTCTTTACTGATGTTATTGAAGTATCAACATTTTTTACATGAGTACAGCAGTTTTTGACTCACTGTCACATTTTGTGG